TCATTAAAACTCGTTTTTCAACCACTCCACAAATGTCTTGTTAACAAACTACAGTTTTGGCAAGTCGGATAGGACACATAATTTTTCCAACAATTGTTTACAGACAGAATATTACACTTATACTTCACTGTATCACAATTCCAGTGGGTCAGAAGTTTATATACACTAAGTTGACTGTGCCTTTAAACAGCTTGGAAAATTCCAGAAAAATATGTCAAGGCTTTAGAAGCTTCTGATTGGCTAATTGACATCATTTGAGTGAATTGGAGGTGTACCTGTGGATGTATTTCAAGGCCTACCTTCAAACTCAGTTCCTCTTTGCTTGACATCATCGGAAAATCAAAAGAAATCAGCCAAGACCTCAGAAAATAAATTGTAGTCCTCCAAAAGTCTGGTTCATCCTTGGGAGCAATTTCCAAACGCCTGAAGGTACCACGTTCATCTGGACAAACTATAGTATAAGTATAGACACCATGGGACCACGCAGCCATCGTACCGCTCAGGAAGGAGACGCGTTCTGTCTCCTAGAGATGAACTTACTTTTGGTGTGAAAAGTGCAAATCAATCCCAAAACAACAGCAAAGGACCTTGTGAAGATGCTGGGGGAAACAGGTACAAAAGTATCTATATCCACAGTAAAACGAGTCCTATATCGACATAACCTGAAAGGCCACTCAGCAAGGAAGAAGCCACTGTTCCAAAACCGCCATAAAATAGCCAGACTACGGTTTGCAACTGCACATGGGGACAAAGATCGTACTTTTTGGAGAAATGTCCTCTGGTCTGATGAAACAAAACTAGAACTGTTTGGCCAAAATGACCATCGTTATGTTTGGAGGAAAAAGAGGAATGCTTGCAAGCCGAAGAACACCATCCCAACCGTGAAGCATGGGGGTGGCAGCATCATGCTGTGGGGGTGCTTTGCTGCAGGAGGGTCTGGTGCACTTCACAAAATAGATGGCATCATGAGGAAGGAAAATTATGTGGATATACTGAAGCAGCATCTCAAGACATCAGTCAGGAAGTCGCAAATGGGTCTTCCAAATGGACAATGACCCCAAGCATACTTCCAAAGTTGTGGCAAAATGGCTTAAGGACAACAAAGTCAAGGTATTGGAGTGGCCATCACAAAGCACTGAACTCAGTGTGGGCAAAACTGAAAAAGCGTGTGCGAGCAAGGAGGCCTACAAACCTGACTCAGTTCCACCAGCTCTGTCAGGAGGCCAAAATTCACCCAACTTATTGTGGGAAGCTTGTGGAAGGCTACCCGAAACGTTTGACCCAAGTTAAACAATTTAGAGGCAATGCTACCAAATACTAATTGAGTGTATGTAAACTTCTTGCCCACTGGGAATGTGATGAAAGAAATAAAAGCTGAAATAAATCATTCTCTCTACTATTATTCTGACATTTCACATTCTTAAAATAAAGTGGTGATCCTAACTGACGTAAGACAGGGAATTTTTACTAGGATTAAATGTCAGGAATGGTGAAAAAAACTGAGTTTAAATGTATTTGGCTAAGGTGTATGTAAACTTCCGACTTCAACTGTAGAAGAGAACTAATGGGAGTGTTTACTGAAGACCTTAAATGACCTGCCTTATGTGATGCTGCATGTACACACACCTCTCCTTCAACTCTCTCTCTAACCCCATAACCACCTTACTCAGTCCGTCTGTCCGTCTCTCTCTCTCTCTCTCTCTCTCTCTCTCTCTCTCTCTCTCTCTCTCCTCTCTCTCTCTCTCTCTCTCTCTCTCTCTCTCTCTCTCTCTCTCTCTCTCTCTCAAGGAAAGTCCTTAAACCTGAGTTGACAGCCAGGGAGAGGATTATCCTTGCGATTGATATGCCCATTTACCCACTCCTCTCGTCCTCTCTTCCTTTCTCTCCCTCGCTCCCTCACTGACCTTACGTGGAGTCTATGCATTTTCTCTAAGCAAACACATTTATTCACTTTGGTTTGTTAGGCTGCGTAGTGGCGCATGCATAACATATGACGTAAACTTGACTGTCTGTGTCTGTTTCTGTGGCTGTGTAAGTACTTGCATGTTTGAGTCTGTCACTGTGTTACAGACAATGGTGAACCTCACTAATAATAGGAGCAGAGGAGCAAAGAACAACAGACAAATGAACAAAGAAATACCATGTGAAAAAATAATGAATAGAAGATGAATAGAAAACAGCAGATCGGCAGCATTGTTAGTCTGAAGGTGAAGCTGTGAAGATGAAGGATGCAGAAGAGAAACTAATCATCATCCATCCTATCATCCACCCTATCATCCATCCTATCATCCACCCTATCATCCACCCTATCATCCATCCTATCATCCACCCTATCATCCACCCTATCATCCATCCTATCATCCACCCTATCATCCACCCTATCATCCATCATATCATCCACCCTATCATCCACCCTATCATCCGTCCTATCATCTATCCTATCATCCACCCTATCATCCACCCTATCATCCATCCTATCATCTACCCTATCATCCATCCTATCATCCACCCTATCATCCACCCTATCATCCATCCTATCATCCATCCTATCATCCACCCTATCATCCATCCTATCATCCATCTTATCATCCACTTTATTATCCATCCTATCATCCATCCTTCTCCAATCCTCTTGTTTTGACTGAGAACACACCACCTGCTGCTCCTGTTAATTTAGCTTCTCCCATTACAAGGAAAACCGGGATTGTTTGTGTGACTATTCTCGGTTGACGTTGACTTGTGATGCTAGGTGTGTGTGTGCTTTATGTTATGTTCTAGGTATGTTTATGTGCGTGTTGAGCCTTTTGATATTATTATGTGTGCATTGTGTGTGTGTGTGTGTCTGGGGGGTGGGGGGGGGGTCATTTGATGAGTGTTCAAAGACTTTGGCAATCACATTGTCTGAAAGCATTCAAAATACACTGAAAACATCAAAATTACATAATCTATACAGCTAAAATCAACAATGCAATGTTAAAACAAGTTAAATAAAGTGTGCAATATCAATTTACCTGATTTTTCTAACCATTACTTTGAGCAAAATCAAGACTTCAATATTATTGTAATGCTTTTTGTATAAACCATCTTAAATTATAGCTCAATTTGATCAAATTCTGAATTTGCAAATAATTATGATTAATCACAGCAAATCCTTCGATTAACTCAATGTTTGACAGCCCTAGTATGTATATACAATATAAGGTTTGCACTTTACATTTCAGTAGCTCAGTTGTAAATATATTACATTTCATAGAATATCAACTCCATGGTGTTATTACATGCAACCAACTACACCAGTATTGACCTCTTAAGGATCGGACCCTTTTTTTCAATTTTCGCCTAAAATGACATACCCAAATCTAACTGCCTGTAGCTCAGGACCTGAAGCAAGGATATTGATACCATTTGAAAGGAAACACATTGAAGTTTGTGGAAATGTGAAATAAATGTAGGAGAATATAACACATTAGATCTGGTAAAAGATAATACAAACAAAAAAACATCAGTTTTCTATTTATTTTTTTCATCATCTTTGAAATGCTAGAGAAAGGCCACAATATAATATTGCAGTTTAGGCGCAATTTAGATTTGGGCCACTAGATGGCAGCAGAGTGTGTGCAAAGTTTCAGATTGATCCAGTGAAGCATTGCAATACTATTTTGTATCAAGTCCACCCAAATGTGCCGAATTGTTCAATTGATGCATTTTCAAGTGCATTACTATAGAGAACATACAAAAATGATATGGCAATACAAAATGTAAGTTTACATAGTATATACATATGAGATGGGTAATGCAAGATATGTAAACATTGATAAGATAATATAGAATACAGTAAATACATATGAGATGGGTAATGCAAGATATGTAAACATTAAAGTGACATTATTAAAATGACTAGTGTTCCATTTCTTAAAGTGGCCAGTGATTTTCAAGTCTGTATGTAGGCAGCAGCCTCTCTGTGCTAGTGATGGCTGTTTAACAGTCTGATGGCCTTGAGATAGAAGCTGTTTTTCAGTCTCTCGGTCCCAGCTTTGATGCACCTGTACTGTACTGTACTGTACTCGCCTTCTGGATCATAGTGGGGTGAACAGGCAGTGGCTCGGGTGGTAGTTGACCTTGATTATCTTTTTGGCCTTCCTGTGACATCGGGTGCTGTAGGTGTCCTGGAGGGCAGGTAGTTTGCCCCCGGTGATGCGTTGTGCAGACCGCACCACCCTCAGGAGAGCCTTGTGGTTGTGGGAGGTGCAGTTTCCATACCAGTCGGTGATACAGCCCAACAGGATGCTCTCAATTGTGCATCTGTAAAAGTTTTTGAGGGTTTTAGGTGACAGGCTAAATTTCTTTAGCCTCCTGAGGTTGAAGAGACACTGTTGCGCCTTCTTCACCACACTGTCTGTGTGGGTGGACCATTTAAGTTTGTCAGTGATATGTACGCCGAGGAACTTAAAACGTTCCACCTTCTCCACTGCTGTCCCGTCGATATGGATAGGGGGGGTACTCCCTCTGCTGTTTCCTGAAGTCCACAATCATCTCCTTTTTTATGTTGAGTGAGAGGTAATTTTCCTGACACCACACTCCGAGAGCCCTCACCTCATCTAATCAAGCCTACTACTGTTGTGTCGTCTGTAAACTTGATGATTGAGTTGGAGGCATGCACGGCCACGCAGTCATGGGTGAACAGGGAGTATAGGAGGGGGCTGAGCAATCACCCTTGTGGGGCCCCAGTGTTGAGGATCAGCGAAGTGGAGATGTTGTTTCCTACCTTCACCACCTGGGGGCGGCCTATCAGTAAGTCCAGGACCCAATTGCACAGGGCAGGGTTGAGACCCAGGGCCTCAAGCATGATGATGAGCTTGGAGGGTACTATGGTGTTGAATGCTGAGCTATAGTCAATGAACAGCTTTCTTACATAGGCATTCTAAACAAGCCTTCAAATTACTTCCACTGCAAACATGCAGGTTGCCATGGATATCACCACCAAGTATTGCCATAAAGAGATGGAGAGCTATGGGCAGTGTGTGGCCTCCCACCGTCTACATGGCAACGGCACTGTCAAGACCTGAAGATGAAGGTGGCACAGTGTACCTCTTCACACCCTGTGATCCAGAAGATGTGGTCCTCTGTAGCTCAATTGGTAGAGCATGGCGCTTGTAACGCCAGGGTAGTGGGTTTGATCCCCGGGACCACCCATGCGTAAAAATGTATGCGCACATGACTGTAAGTTGCTTTGGATAAAAGTGTCTGCTAAATGGCATATTATTATTATTAAGATCCGGACAGACGGTTCCAAAGAGTTCACAGAGTTTGAACGTTGCTTACTAGAGAACCAGAACTCACCTACCTCCTGTTCAGCACACGTAGCACGCTTCCTCGGCTGTGCCGAGACAGTGGACCTTTTCGGAGTGGCAGTGAACCCGGTTCCTCAGCCCTGTTAGGACCCAGCAGTGACCATCATCCATCCCTCTCAGAGAAGATATCTCCTTCCTGTAATACTGACGCCAGATTGCTCTATCAATCATGGATAAATCAATGCCCATGGCATTTTGATAACATCCTGACTTTGTACATGGATAAAGTGGACTCTTGTCCATGGCTACTTTAGGATTTGTCAAGAGAACTCGGAATACTAGACATTTACAAGTTACTGGGACTGATTTCTGCCTGAGACTGTCAAGAATCAAGATGGGTTATAAAAAATAAAAAATAAGCATATATATATATATATATATATATATATATATATATATATATATATATATATAGATAAAATACATATACAGTGGGGAAAAAAAGTATTTAGTCAGCCACCAATTGTGCAAGTTCTCCCACTTAAAAAGATGAGAGAGGACTGTAATTTTCATCATAGGTACACGTCAACTATGACAGACAAAATGAGAAAAAAAAATCCAGAAAATCACATTGTCGGATCTTTTATGAATTTATTTGCAAATGATGGTGGAAAATAAGTATTTGGTCAATAACAAAAGTTTCTCAATACGTTGTTATATACTCTTTGTTGGCAATGACAGAGGTCAAACGTTTTCTGTAAGTCTTCACAACACACTGTTGCTGGTATTTTGGCCCATTCCTCCATGCAGATCTCCTCTAGAGCAGTGATGTTTTGGGGCTGTCGCTGGGCAACACGGACTTTCAACTCCCTCCAAAGATTTTCTATGGGGTTGAGATCTGGAGACTGGCTAGGCCACTCCAGGACCTTGAAATGCTTCTTATGAAGCCACTCCTTCGTTGCCCGGGCGGTGTGTTTGGGATCATTGTCATGCTGAAAGACCCAGCCACGTTTCATCTCAATGCCCTTGCTGATGGAAGGAGGTTTTCACTCAAAATCTCACGATACATGGCCCCATTCATTCTTTCCTTTACACGGATCAGTCGTCCTGGTCCCTTTGCAGAAAAACAGCTCCAAAGCATGATGTTTCCACGCCCATGCTTCACAGTAGGTATGGTGTTCTTTGGATGCAACTCAGCATTCTTTGTCCTCCAAACACGACGAGTTTAGTTTTTACCAAAAAGTTCTATTTTGGTTTCATCTGACCATATGACATTATCCCAATCCTCTTCTGGATCATCCAAATGCACTCTAGCAAACTTCAGACGGGCCTGGACATGTACTGGCTTAAGCAGGGGGACACGTCTGGCACTGCAGGATTTGAGTCCCTGGCGGCGTAGTGTGTTACTGATGGTAGGCTTTGTTACTTTGGTCCCAGCTCTCTGCAGGTCATTCACTAGGTCCCCCCGTGTGGTTCTGGGATTTTTGCTCACCGTTCTTGTGGTCATTTTGACCCCACGGGTTGAGATCTTGCGTGGAGCCCCAGATCGAGGGAGATTATCAGTGGTCTTGTATGTCTTCCATTTCCTAATAATTGCTCCCACAGTTGATTTCTTCAAACCAAGCTGCTTACCTATTGCAGATTCAGTCTTCCCAGCCTGGTGCAGGTCTACAATTTTGTTTCTGGTGTCCTTTGACAGCTCTTTGATCTTGGCCATAGTGGAGTTTGGAGTGTGACTGTTTGAGGTTGTGGACAGGTGTCTTTTATACTGATAACAAGTTCAAACAGGTGCCATTAATACAGGTAACGATTGGAGGACAGAGGAGCCTCTTAAAGAAGAAGTTACAGGTCTGTGAGAGCCAGAAATCTTGCTTGTTTGTAGGTTACCAAATACTTATTTTCCACCATAATTTGCAAATAAATTCATTAAAAATCCTACAATGTGATTTTCTGGAAAAAAAAATCTCAATTTGTCTGTCATAGTTGACGTGTACCTATGATGAAAATTACAGGCCTCTCTCATCTTTTTAAGTGGGAGAACTTGCACAATTGGTGGCTGACTAAATACTTCCCCACTGTATGCACTCACTAACTGTAAGTCACTCTGGATAAGCGTCTGCTAAATGACTAAAATGTAAATGTAAATGTATTCCTCTTGTCCAGATGGGATAGGGCAGTGTGATGGTGATTGCATCGTCTGTGGACCTATTGGGGCGGTATGCAAATTTAAGTGGGTCTAGGATGACAGGTAAGGTGGAGGTGATATGATCTTTGACTAGTCTCTCAAAGCACTTCATGATGACAGAAGTGAGTGCTAGTCATTTAGTTCAATTACCTTTACATTCTTGGGTACAGTATCAATGGTGGCCATCTTGAAGCATGTGTGGACAGCAGACTGGGATAGGGAGAGATTGAATATCTCCGTAAACACACCAGCCAGCTGGTCTGCGCATGCTCTGAGGATGCGGCTAGGAATGCCGTCTGGGCCGGCAGCCTTGCGAGGGTTAACACATTTAAATGTCTTACTCACGTCGGCCATGGAGAAGGATAGCTCACAGTTCTTGGTAGCTGGCCGCGTCGGTGGCACTGTGTTATCCTCAAAGCGGGCAAAGAACTTGTTTAACTTGTCTGGCAGCAAGACGTCGGTGTCTGCAATGTGGCTGGTTTTCCTATTGTTGTCCATTAATTTCTGTAAACACTGCCACATACGTCTCGCCTGTTTGATTGCCTTGCGGAGGGAACGACCACTCTGTTTGTATTCTGCCATATTCCCCATCACCTTGCCATGATTAAATGCGGTGGTTCGTGCTTTCAGTTGTTCGTGAATGCTGCTATCTATCCACGGTTTCTGGTTAGGGTAGGTTTTAATAGTCACAGTGGGTATGACATCTCCTATACACTTCCTTATTAACCCACTCACCGAATCAGCGTATACGTCTATATTATTCTCAGAGGCTACCCAGAACATATCCCAGTCCGCGTGATCAAAACAATCTTGAAGCATGGATTCCGATTGGTCAGACCAGCGTTGAATAGTCCTAAGCGCAGGTGCTTCCTGTTTAAGTTTCTGCCTATAGGAAGTGAGGAGCAAAATGGATTCGTAGTCAGATTTGCCGAAAGGAGGACGGGGGGAGGTCCTTGTATGCATAGTGGAAATTAGTGTAACAATGGTCCAGCGTTTTTCCAGCGAGAGTGCTACAGTCAATATGCTGACAGAATTTAGGTAGCCTTTTTCTCAAATTTGCTTTGTTAAAATACAGTAAATGCAGCCTCAGGATATATGGTTTCCAGTTTGCATAAAGTCCAGTGAAGTTCCTTGAGGGCCGTCGTGGTATCGGCTTGAGGGGGGATATACACGGCTGTAACAATAACCGAAGAGAATTCTCTTGGGAGATAATACGGTCGGCACGTGATTGTGAGGAATTCTAGGTCAGGTGAACATAGTGACTTGAGTTCCTGTATGTTGTTACAATTACACCATGAGTCGTTATTCATGAAACAGACCCCCCCACCCCTCTTCTTCCCGGAGAGATGTTTATTCCTGTCGGCGCGATGTACTGAGAACCCAGATGGCTGTATGGACGTGGGGACAGTATATCCCGAGAGAACCATGTTTCAGGGAAACACAGTATGTTACAATCTCTGATGTCTCTCTGGTATGCAACCTTTGCCCTGATCTCGTCCACTTTGTTGTCTAGGGACTGGACATTAGCGAGTAATATACTCGGAAGCGATGGGTGCTGTGCGCGCCTCCTAAGTCTGACTAGGAGACCGCTCCGGCTCCCTCTCCCCCATTGGCGTTGTTTCGGGTCGGCCTCTGGAATCAGTTAAAATGCCCTGGGTGGTGCAAACAAAGGATTTGCTTCGGGAAAGTCGTATTCCTGGTCGTAGTTTTGGTAAGTTGACGCCGCTCTGATATCACATAGTTGCTTAGGATGACAAATCAGAGCAAGATTACTGAATGTAAGTACATTATTTACCTTCAGAGGTGAATGTATCAAACCAGTTGCCGTGATAAGTTATTGATGTTGTGCACTCTCCTCAAACAATAACATGGTATTTTTTCACTGTAATAGCTACTGTAAATTGGACAGTGCAGTTAGAGTAACAATAACTTAAGCTTTCTGCCCATAGAAGACATGTCTATGTCCTGGAAAGTTTGCTGTTACTTACAACAGTCATGCTAATCATATTAGCACACGTTAGGTCAACCGTCCCGTATACGGGACACCGATCCCGTAGAGGTTAAACTACAGTTCTACAGTTATCTTTATTACATTGCAATTATCCTTGCATGTTTTATATCTGCATTTATCATGACCATCTGGGCAATTACATTCTGGTTACCAAAGTAATTACAGAGTATCTACAAGTCATAAGGAGAAACTCAATATTAAACTCAATATGAACTGAAATATTTTGTGGTCCCTTCACTTACTAGCCTTCCATTCACTTACTAGCCTAAATTAATTTCCTCATTCCAGTGTTCAAGATCATATCTTTCTAAAGCTAAATTCAACAGTTTGGGGATTTGTTGGAGTAGATATGTATGCCATTGAACGCAGCCTCCTTGGGCATCAGTGAAATCAATTTCCTAACAAAGGCCCATTCAACAATTTAACTAGGTTTAACAGTCAAGGCTAGGCTCAAAGCAGGATGGAAATTGAATTGATGGAGATAGCATTGATGAGCCAATTGAATCAGCTAAGCCTTGAAGTGTGTGTGTGTTTGTGTGTGTGTGTGTGTGTGTGTGTGTGCGTGTGTGCGTGTGTGCGTGTGTGTGTGTGTGCGTGTGTGTGTGTGAGTGTGTGTGTGTGCGTGTGTGTGTGTGTGTATGTGTGTGTGTGAGAGAGAGTGCATGCAAGTGTATGCGTGCGTAGTCTGACAATCCATTATATATCACACAAGGAATTATCCAATATCACAGATTGCAGTTTGTTCTCTGCCCAAAAAAGTTATATCAGTGATTCCATGGCTAGAGAGAATGTTTATTCTCGAAGAAACTTCATGCTGTCTCTGTAACTGATTTTTGATTCATTGCTACCCTTATTAAAATTGAACTTCTCCTGAGTGGCGCAGTGGTCTAAGGCACTGCATCGCTGTGCCACTAGAGATCCTGGTTCAAATCCAGGCTCTGTCGTAGCCGA